GTATGTATAGATATATGTATAAGTATATGTATATGTATATGTATATGTATATGTATGTATATATATATATATATATATATATCTGTTATTGTCGATATATCGTATTATCAATGTGTAGTCACCACTTACGTTTGTCCCATATACACCGAGACATACACATGTCTGATCACACTGTACGCTCGTACGTATCACAGGAACGTCGCCAGACAAAAGGGATTAAAGAAGACCTTAGCGATCTACTCATATCGCCAGTACAGCGTATTCCACGGTACTCTATGCTGCTCGAGGTGAGTGAGTGCACATATATGCATGAAATTGTGAGTGTATGTCTAGTTGTGTATGTCCGTAGTATGTGTCACATGCATGCATGATATTGTGTATGTATGTCACATGCATGCATGATATTGTGTATGTATGTCTAGTTGTGTAAGTCCCTATATGGTCAGACATGTATTCAATTTCCAAAAATATGCAACTTACAATACTCAGTACAGTCCGGTTAGGCACATTGTAAGCCACCTATACCTCACCTGCTGAGTCAGAGAAAAGACGATGTACTGAACCACCATCATATATTGTCCAAATTCTAAACCCTAAAAACCAAAAACAGCAAATTCTGAAGTACACCCCGAAATCGCATCCCGATTTTGTCAATCTGACAAACGCACTGGCCACCATCAAACGAGTAGCCGATACGATCAACGAGCGAAAACGCGCCAAACAATTGGTGGAACAACTGGCAACCAAGGTCACAGGCTGCCCAGAGGTAAGCCACGGTACAACACAGGTGGTGAGTGTGTTGGATATATTGTAGGTAATATACACCTATATATGCACACACACATATATATATATATATATATATATGTGTGTGTGTGTGTATGTGTGTGTCTGTGTGTGTGTGTGTGTGTGTGTGTGTGTGTCTTCCGAGCTTGAAACACTGACGGGATAGGCATGCAGCTTGCTTGCCTACAGCGTTGGGTTGTTGTGTGGGATATGCTGACCTCAAAGTCAGCGATTGCCCAGAAGTACCGCAGAATATATCTGTGCTCAAATACCTTTTATATCACGAAATAAGTGATGCTTTTACGTGTTACTGAATGTACACCACTTTGTATATGGTATGTTGTAAGAAGAGTAGGCGTGCGTGCCGTTATGTTGAATAAAGAATCCTTACAGCCGCTATGTTTGTGGGGGGGGTGAGAGGACAGGGTCACAACACATTTATAAAGAAATATCATACAAAGCAAACGGTGGCATACGACTGAAGAAGGTGTATATCACGTGTGATTTAAATATATATCTATTTATACATATATATATATATATATATATATATTATCACCTATATTAGCAAACATGTATAATATATACATATTTATACCTGTATGTGTATATTTGTATGTAGGTAGCTTTGTCATCACACA